AATTATAGGTCCCCAATTCCAAAACGTTCAGGGTCGGTTTTTCAGGGTCTAGGCGCGCCCACCCCCGTGTTGTTTCGGGCGAGAAACGGTCTCCCTACTGGCACTCCAACCCGAGCCCGAAAAGTCTATGTAATTGATTGCTGCGAACCTCCCATTCCATTGCACGATACCCTCAAAGCAATAGGATGGGAAGCAGCAAGAAATTGCATGGCAACCTGCCCGACTGAGGTGAGACAGCTGTTGTTTCGGGATCCCTTTTGAGTTTTTTTTGCTAGTCGTTGGGAGGAGGTAGGACTTGCGTCTACGTGCCACGCTAACCAAGCCGAGGCTACCGCGGGCACCCTTGGAGCGATGCTGCGTGGATTTGCGCCAAACAAAGGATCCTGGCCGAAGCAATAAGAGGTTGAGTTTCTCAGTTTCTTGGCAAGACTCGTTGCTTTTACGATTAGACGTGCGGATTTTTAGTCTACTCACATGAGGGGTGACCGGTGACCTCTCCAGTGCCAGATTCTGTGCAAGGCGGTGAGGGTACAGATTATTGCGATGGACACTTCCACATGTGCATAGGTTAGACAAGCTGACGTGACTGTCAGCCTCGGAGCGCCGTCTTACCCACCACGTGTGCAAGAAAGTTGCCAAAAAGGTGCAGACATGGGCAATCTTGGCAAGAACAGCAACTACAATCCGTAGCCCACGTGATGGCACGCACCATTATGAAGAGACCAAAAACTTCTGCAGCCGTTTCCATTGCTCAAGAGCGACATTTCACCCAACCAGAATTCTCGTCGGTGACAAGGCCAGCGGTCTGTCTACTAAGTTAGAAGTGTACGCAATCCTTGCGCGCAAGCCTTGCCAGGATGACATCCACTAGCAGCCGCTGTTGGGCCGATATGGTAGATGATGGCGAGGCCAGATGCCCTGCATGTCAGTGGAATATTGTCACACAAGTGGCCCCTCTTGGGTGACTTGAGGCAAGCGAATGGGAGTTCGAGGTCTTCAAAAAGGACTATCTGGCAAGGAGGTGCGCTTTAACACTACTCACTCCTGCACGTGCCTCAGCCAATCCCTTAGCGCGCAGTTCCAAGATATACGTGCCGCGAAAAGCCTGCCTCCTCAGGCAGGAGTTGTCAAGATCGATGAGGCTCCACGCAAGTACTTTGCAGCTTCCTTTCCAGCATGGCACATGTGCAGTTCATGTCTGCCTTGCACCAGGCTTGGAAAACTTGGCCAACGAAGGGACTTCAGATGCGCGGGACGTCCTCACGCCCCGCCAGGCGGCACACGCCTCGACAGGTTAAGGCTCTGCTGCAGACTGTCCAAATGCACGATTGCGAGTAAGGTGATTATGACATGCTTGTTTGAGACGTAGGCAGCTGCGAAAAAGGGGGCGGCTTGCACTTGGACCGCGGATGACGAGGAGGCGCTCGACGCCGCATTCCAGCGGGCCCAGGCAGATTGCCCAACACGTAGTCTCTCATCAGCAGCGCCTGCTGTGCAGCCCAGGCGGAAAGGGCCAGATCCGGCGCTACCGAGACGGCTTGTCCGCCGCGTCTTGTCACACCTCGCATGCCCAGCAGGAGCCTCAGGCAGCAAGGTCATATAGCGCATCAAGCACAGGCACTATATATGAGCTGGCAGGTCGCCGGCGCCGAGGAGGCGCATCAGGCTCCTCGTCCTCGCGCCACATCAGCAGTCCTCGACCAGAAGCTGGCCCGAGTATCGAGGCGGACTCACCAACGCCATAGATAGATTCTTCCAAGTTTGGTGACCCAATTCCCAGATCCGAGCCCCTGCAAATCCATGCCCCCAACACAGGAGCATTTCCACGGGACGCTCGAGCTGAAGAAGATGACGGGCGACGGCAACTGCCTCTTCCATGCGCTCGGGGAGAAAGAGCAAGACGATGCAGTGTCCCTCCGCGAGGAAATCATCGACTTCCTCGAAGAAACCGCCAAGGACCAAGAGAAGGAGCAAGAAGAGGCGTGGCTGGAGGAGGCCGCATACCTCCGAAACGACCCGAACGCTTGGGGAGGCGACACTGCCATAGTGGCCTTCACGCTGATGAGGCGCCAGAGGGTGATGCTGCACTGGCGCGGAGAAGTCGGGCGCATTCACACCGACGAGCGCACGCATCTCGAGGTGGCAGAGGAGCTCCAGGCCGAAAGCCAAGACATAATTCACTTGTGGTACAATGGACTTGACCATTATGACCTGCTCCTGCCCAGCCAAACAGCAGAGCCGCCCTCGCCCGCCGCCGACCCGGTCGATGCTGAGCTGGAGGATGTGTTGGAAGAGGTCTCGCGGACAGCAGTGGCTGCTGCGTCCGATCACCCGCATCGCGCACTGGAGGATGCAATCAAACAGCTGGCTGACGCCCGAATCCGGGATGAGCCCACAATACCGCCGATGGCATCGCGCAGAGACGTGGATGCCGGGGAAGCGTGGCCCCACGCTTTCTGCGCATTCAGCGGCTGCATCTGGAGCAGCCAGACTGGAGGCGAGGAGGACCTGAAGCAGCACCTCGCGGACCAGCACGCCTCGGATTTACTGCCACTAGCCACGCTTCTGCCAGCCCAGGACAACAACAAGTGCTTGAGTGTCTACAACGCGGCCATCAGCGTGAAGTGCCGCGCCCAAGCTCCCATTGCTGGAAGCTCCCTCGACCGGAGCGCCTTGGCGAAGTTTGCAGCGGCCACTGCCAAGGACAACGTGGAGTCGCTGGTGTGCTTCTCCTGCGCCTGCACTTACACGCGCCTTGNNNNTGCCAGCAGAGGGCACCTTTCTTGGCCAGCCGCTGGAGATCATGAAGAACCTGCTGGGCGTGGACCAGTTCCTGGCCAAGTACGATGAGCTGGAGGGTGGCGCCAAGCTGTCGGACTCCGAGGACCTAGGCGGCTGGCAGGTGTCAGTGATTGATGGTAGAGGCAATGCCGTCATGCTCCTGGGCTGCCCGGAAGACCACAGATGCACGGCCAACCCCGAGCACCCACGCCAGGGCACGTTGTGTGAGCACTGCGAAGTCCCCATCTGCCGATCCTGCCACGACCACCTCTGCAAGAAGAAGCTGCCCCCGCTCAGCCTGGCAAACGACATGTGGAGCGGCTACGGGCCCGAGACTCTCTACAGCCAGAACGTCACCGTCATGGAGATGCTGTGCGCAAGCCCGTGCATCACCACGCTGGTCTGCCTGTCCATGGAGGCTCGGCACCACGGCGAAGAGGTGCCCGGGAAGTCCATGGATGAGACGGCGCACATGGCTCGGCACCGTCAGGGCGCGCGCGGCAATGCGCTGACCTTCCCGATGCCTTGGGAAGACCTGCTCCAGAAGCTCCAGCAGCAGAACGGCCCCGGGGCAGCGGCGCTGCCTCGCAGTCCGCAAGAGCTCTCCGGCATCGTGCGCGTCATCCTCGCCACCAACAAGGAAGGCCAGACCACCCAAACGGACATTAAGAACCTCGTGCACCAAGCCAACGTGCGCAGACGAGTGGTCGTGAAGTTGATCCTGGACATGAAGCGCTATGGCCACCCCTCCTTCCAGGGCATCGACGAGCAGCAGGTGCTCGAGAAGGCCGCCTCGCTACCCGAAGACGGTGTGCCGGCGGAAGTGGTCAAGATCATCCACCAGCTGGATGGCTCGCAGGAGAAGCTTCAGCCGCAGAAGGCCGCGACGCCCACAGATGGCATGCAAACTCTGGACCAGGCAGGGCAGGGCAGGGCAGGGGTTCACCTTGGCTTATAACAATTAGTATCATCACCAGCTGCACTCAGCATCCATGAGTGTCAGACGCACGAGAGCTGAGGCTGGAAGGGTCTTCGCTGCACAGCGGCCCCGTGCCATCGTGGCCGAGGGCGAGAGCTTGGACAAGCAGGACCAGAATGCCATAGGCTTCGCGGCCCTTTCAAGCCTGCAGGAACAGGATCGGGAGCAAGCACAGCCGCCGCCGGAGGAAAGGAGAGCCGACACCTTCGTGGTCCGGACCGGGAACGCGCTCGTCGACCAGTTCCAGCCGAAGTACTTTGCCATCGCCTTCGCCTTCTGCTTTAAGTACGGCACGGCCTGCCCCGACGTGCTCAACACCACAGCACAGGAACAAGAGAGGAGCCGTCGTCGCGAGAGAGACCCGCACAGTCCCATGGTCAGCATTCACGAATGGGCAGCCGGCATGGGGCGGAGAGTGGAGGCCCAGTTCCGTCGAGACTGGAACTTCGGCTTTGTCTTGTGGAACTACCTCTTCCGGACCATGGTCAACTTGCAAGGCAGCGTCTACCTTTACTCTGAAGGTGGCAAGAAGATGACCGGTGAGGAAATCCAGGAAGGTTCCCGGCAGCTGCGAGGCATGCTGGAGCACGGGAAGTACACGGACATCACCGGCGCCAAGAAGCCCGTGAACAGGGACTTCAGCAAGGTGAGGTACGCGGACGGGCTGCCGCCCGCGGGCAAGAAGATCGTCGAGAACTGCATTGCCAAGTGTCGAAACATCCCGGGAACCCACGAGGTCCGCAACTCGATGAGACAGCAGACGCACGCCTACCGGGTCTGCTACGGCACGCCCATCTTCCTGACGTTCTCTCCGTCCGAACGGGACTCCACCATCATGCTCCGCCTGGCAAGAACTCGAGAGGCCGACCCTGCCCTGGCACACGACCAAAGCCGAGACTTCCAAACCAGGAGCCGGCCGGAGCTGGACGTGGACTTCTTGCAGCTGGACCCAGAAGTCTTGCTGCAGGCCCTTCCCGATTACGACCAGCGGCGGGCGATGCTGGCCAGAGACCCGCTGGCGTGCGCGGAGGGCTTTTGGGCGCTGGTGCAGCTTGCGCTACGGCATCTCTTCGGCGTGCGCTGGTGCCCGAACTGCCCGCACTGCGCCAAGTCCAAGGCACCTTGCACGGATGCTTTCGGGAGCAGCGCCACCGCCATGGGCGGCATCCTCGGCCGCGTCGATGCAGCGTTCGGCTCCATCGAGTGCCAGAAGAGCGGCACGCTCCATGTCCACTTCCAGATCTTCCTGCAGTGCTTCCACCAGTTCACGCCCCTCACGGAGCTCGTGCACATGGCCAAGGACGCTTACCAGGACCTGGTGCAGAGATACAAGGACTACACCGCCCACGTTCGGCGCACCGTGTACTGCAGCCCATCCACCTGGCAGAAGGAGCGGGCGCTCGTGGAGGCGGCCTGGCCCGAGTACCGCGACTCGCTGCTCATGCTCAGCCGCCCAGCCTACCAGACCAACGGCGAACTGCCTGCAGCCGCCTGGCGAGAGAGGTACCTTGACGCAGATGTGGAGGAACTCCAGAAGCACAAGCAGCACCACGTGCACCTCGCCAAGACGCCCGGCGGACCCAGGCTCCCGTTGAACCATTGTCAAGATCGAAAAGACCCCACCAAGTGCAAGGCCGGCTTCCCGAGAAACAAGCAACTGACCGAGGAGACCGTGCTGGTGTGCGAGGGCCTGGCTCGGCAGATGGACATGCCCGCCAAAGGCAAGAGGAGCATGCTGGGATCCCTCTGGGGTCCAGTCAACGACCCAGACCTCAACGGCACGCACCCGGCGCTGCTTGCCGCCATCCGCTGCAACTCGGACGTACAGCTGCCTTACCGCTTCCCCATCAACGCGGACACCCACAGCGCTGCCTGCGAAGACAAGAAATGCCCGGGCGGCAACCAGCCTGTCCGAGCCTTGGTCCGCGAAGCACAAAGAACCCAGTCTGCGCAGGCCGGGTATGCCTGCGACTACGGCAACAAGCGTGGTCCCATCGCCACGCACGAGATCCGAGAGTGGAACAAGGGCAACAACGACATGGCAGAGGAGCTCAAGGGCAAGCCCGCTGGCTACATCGGCTCCCGCAACGAAAGTCGTTTCATCACCGACTGCTTCTGCCGGGGCGTGTGCCGCGGTTCCACAGAATGCCTCAACCTCATCACGCGGCACCAGCGCCAGGATCCCTTGGATGCGGAGTCGGTGCGCACCGCTCAGGTGATCAACCTGCCTCTGTCACATGGTGTGGAGTTGCTGCAGGCAGCAGTGAACGAGCAGNNGAGCACGGATGCAAGAGCTCACAAGCAGCGGAAGATCGTCAGCCACTGCCCGTTCTGGACCCTCTACGGCTCCCGCGGAAGCGACCCGCGCGTCCACCAGCTGTCAGCCTTCGAGTTCGCCCGGCACTACGAGTTCAGGAGAGCAGCCCATCCTTGGAGCCTGGCGCAACAAGAGGCTGAAGTAAACACCGGCAAATACGAAGCTCTTCTCACCGAGGCTGGCATGGAAAAAGTGCGTTGGCATGGAGCTAGGGCGAAGCTTTCCGCGGGCGTCGACTACCGAGTTCGAGAGCCAACTGTCACCGAGCAATGGATCCCCTTCGGTGCCTCCGAGCTGGCGGACCCTTTCCGTCACGACTGGGTGATGGTCCCGCGCGAGCGGCCCTATGTTCCGGTACTCCTCGGCGCCGAGGGCAACAAGACCGATGAAGAGCAGGCCATGAAGGTTTTGCTGCTTTTCCGCCCCTGGGTGAACGATCGCCGCCTGGCTCTGGAAGACTGCGTGCCCTTCGTAAGCAAGATCCGCGATCCGGATGCGACCGGCTGGCGCCATGCTCTGCAGCTCTGGCTAACTCGGAGAGGCTTTCCGACGGAGTCGGTGAAGCGCTATGCGACCCAGTTCTGCTTCGTGCACTGCTTGCCGAGGGATCTGCAATCCAGCGCCGACCTCGAGCCCAACAGCGACAACGAGGACCTCGAGGACGTGCCCTGCCACTTCAACGAGGCCTGGAAGGGATGCTTGAAGCAATTAGGCGCCTATAGTCTCTCTCGTCTTGAGGGTTCCCATCCCCGCTGCTGCAGGACGACATCGCCTTGGCCATGGAGACGCATGTACGGGGAGATGGAGAGCAGGGCAGCGGGCCGGCAGAAGACGAGCTGAACTCGCACGCCCAGCGCGCCAAGCACCTCTTTGGGCTGTCCCGCTCCGCCTGGCTGGACAAGGAGCGCATCGACCCGGCCGCTGCGGAGCGCTACCAGGACTTTGCGGTCAAGGAGCCCATCCGGGACCACCAGCAAGTCAGAAAGGCGGCCAGCAAGTCGCACAACGCCGGGGAGAACAAGAGCAGGCAAGGCAGAGGGCTGGCAGCATCATCCTCAAGAGACCCGGAGGTGCATGCACAGGAGTCGGTGACGGTCGCGCGTCTCCGGGATTGGCTGTACGGTGACAAGGTCAGGAACGGCACCAACGCCAAGCAGCACGCGTTTCTGGAGCTGGTCGTGGACCGCGTGCTGGTGGAGCTCGAGCTGATCGAGCCCGACCAGTCCATTCGAAGGAGCTCGGAACCCTTGGCCTGGCTGCTACATGGGCCCCCGGGCGCAGGCAAGTCCCACGCGCTCCCCCTCCTGCGAGAGCTCTTCGAAGACTTGCTCGGGTACAAGCAGGGCATCGACTACGAGATCATGGCCTTGCAGGCGGTGAACGCCGTGGACATTCGGGGCGAGACCATCCACAAGGCCTTCGGCATGAACGAGCGCGAGCGCAGAACATCCACCGAGAAGGCAAAAGCGGCGGCTCAGCGTATCGGCTATTGGCGCTGGGTGATCGTGGACGAGATCAGCATGGTCAGCGCCAAGCTGCTGGCCAAGCTGGAGCAGCAGCAGCGGGAGTATACGCCGAGTCAGAGCGCCTTCAAGCGAGATGCTGCCGGCAAGGTGAGGCACTGGGGCGGCGCCAACATGATCTTCCTGGGCGACTTCTACCAGCTCCCGCCGCCCGAAGGCGGCTTTCTTGGGGACGTGCCTCGCTGTCTCGCATCCACCGGAGCCACGGAAGATGCTGGAGATCCTGCCATCGAGCGGGGCCGTGAGCTCTTTTGGCAGGGCGGCGTGCAGGGCGTCACGGAGCTGACCGAGATCCTGCGGTGCGATGACCCATGGTGGAATGAGGTGGTGGAGCAGCTGCGACAAGGGTGCCTTTCCGAAGAGAACCACAGATACCTGCACGGCCTGCGGGTGGAGGGCTGCACGCTCTCGCCAGAAGAGCGGGCGTCACGGAAGAGGGTCATCGACCATCCCAACGACCCGCGCCTGCAGGAGCCCAAGTTCCGAGAAGCGATGGTGATCCTGGCCAACAACGATGCCCGTTACCAGATCAACAAGGACAAGGCGCGGGCCTACAGCCAACGGTCCGGAGCGCCGCTGCGATGGTCCGTGGCCAGAGACGTGGCCAGCGCGGAAGCCCTGCAGGCGCAAGACTGCAGCAAGGAAGCCAAGAGGAAGTGGCTCCAGTACCATGACCGCCGCACCGGCGACTTGTGTGGCCTGCTACCCTTGGCAATCGGCTTGCCCGTGGCCCTCACGGACCACATAGACAGATCCCGGGACAAGCACCTGCTCCGAGGCCGCCAAGGCCACGTGCACTCCTGGCTGTGGAGGGACAATGAGAACATGCCGGACGTGGTCTACGTCAAGTTCGCAGATGCGGACTGGCAGCTCCCCGGCACCCCGGAACCGGGCATTTATCCTCTGCGCCCGAAGACTGTGGAGTGGTGTCTGGACGAAGGCCGCGGCGACCGCAAGGTCTTGAAGGTGAAACGGACGCAGATCCAGCTCACGCCTGCATTCGCCTGCACGGCTTACAGCAGCCAAGGGAAGACATTGAAGGCCGCTGTCCTGGACCTGAACGTCGACAAGAACGTGCACCAGACCTTGGGAACTGTGGCGGCCAGCCGCGTGCGCAGCCGCCACGATGTGTTGATCTTGCGACCTTTCCCGCTCTGGCTCTTCAATCGCGGGGCCCCAGAAGGCCCCACCCTGCTGCTGCGAACTCTCCGGCAAGACCATGTGGACTGGACCGCCTACCGCGAAGCCAAGCGGCCCTTTGCCGCCTGCCAGGCCTGCGGCCTCGTCAAGGAACTGGAGGGCTTCTCCTACAAAGAATGGCAGAAGATCCGAACCACGAAGCCGGGAAAGTGCCTGCGCTGCGCCAACGGCGAAAAGGGGCCCGTGAAGCGCAAGCTCGGCAGGGCGGACCTGGCCAAGCACCTCTGCAACGCCTGCGGCTGCCACAAGATCGAACTGGCGTTCCCCCAGGCACAACTGCGGCAAGCACGGAAGCAGTGCACCAGATGCGCGGAAGATGCGCGGCAGCTTCGCTGCGCCGTCTGCAACAACGTCAAAGACGTGTCCACGGACTTCGTGCCGGCTATGCGAACGCTGCCGCCCGCAGCCATTGCTTGCCAGGAGTGTCAGCGAGGAGTTCGTAAGCAGTCAAAGCGCTCACGGGCTGGATGGTTCCTCTGTCAGGGGTGCAGGGAAGACTTCCCAATCGCTGCAGCCGGCAACACCTCCGAACAGCACTGCCTCAATTGCGCTTCGCGCCAAGCAGCACCAAGGCTGAAGGGGTGGCTGAAGTGCAGGACTTGTCAGAAAAGCTTTCAGCATCGAGGTGGTCCCTGGAGACCGCAGAGGTGTCCCGAGTGCAGGAGAGCACCAAAAGCATGCGCCAATCCGTAGCTGCAGCTTGTACAGCCACAGACAAGTACAGATGTACTCACGCGGCTCTTGAAAAGAGGTCAGACGTGTGTGCAGAGTTTTGGAAGTTGGTGCAAGGTTGGCATTCCCTGGCATAGACGGGTGAAGTGACAAGACAGGCTGCATGTTGCATAGCCCAACATAGCACATAGTTGTACTCAGCCTAAGCACTGTAGAGACCACTTGCTTGCAAGCGGCGCAAAATTCCTTGCTGACGGCACATTGGCTCAAACCAGCGACAGATCCAAGAATGTATGACTCCAGAAAGGCAAAAGCACATCAAGCTAAACAAGCAGAACGAGCAGAATCCGGCAGTATCTTCAAGGGTGGACGCAATGCACCTGCCCTACTGCAGACGGCAGCTGCTTCAGCCAGGGCATGATGCAGGCACAAAGCGGGGAGTTCAACTGGGTGTCAACTTGTACAAAAAAACTTAATTGGCTACAAAAGGCTCTGATTAAAGGCACGCCAAAACAGCAAAACTGTGGTTCCCCCGAAGAGGTTTAAGTAAATTGAAGCAAACACATCACAAAGAATTTAAGTAAATTGATGCAAGGAGCTCATAAGGAGGTTTAAGTAAATTGAAACCTGCACAAGCGCCTGAGGCCCAGAAAAAGCTGGGGAGAGGCCCAGAAGCCTAGAAAAGGTTTAGAAGAGGCCCGAAACAGGTAGCCAAAAAATGCTCAGAAGAGGCCCAGGCGCAGAAAAAGCTTAAAAAAGGTTAGGAAAAGCACTTACAAAATGTTTGAGGCCCAGAAAGGTTGAAAAGAAGCCAAAAACAAGAAAGGGCCAAGCTCAGAAAAGGTTGGGAAAGGGTCCAGAAGCCTAGAAAAAGCCCAGGAGAGGCCAAGGCCCAGAAAAGGCTGGGAAGGGCCGGGACGTTTAGAAAAGGACCAGAACACCCCAAAAATTCAGAAGAAGCCCCGAGGCCCAGAAAGGGTTGGAAGAAGCCCAAAAGCACACAAAAGGCCCAGAAGAGGCCCGAGGCCCTAGAAAAGGCCCAGAAGAAGCCCCGAGGCCCAGAAAAGGCTGGGAAAAAGTCCAGAAGTTTAGAGAAAGCCCAGAAGAGGCCCCGAGGCCCAGAAAAGGTTGGGAAGCCAGAAGCACAGAAAAGGTTCAGAAGAGGCGAGGCCCTAGAAAAGGCTGACAAAAGGCCCAGAAGAAAGGCCCGAATCTTTAGAAAAGGCCCAGAGGTCCAGAAGCTTACAAAAAGCTCAGAAGAGGCCCCGAGGCCCAG